GAGTGTGCGTGAGGATGTATGTGCGTGGCAGGTGTGCGTAGGTGTGTGTCTGTGCATCTGAGTGTGGAGGCACAGCTGTGCGTGCGCATGGTGTCCGTGTGTGTATACATACATATACACACTTGAATGTGTGCAGCCACGTGCCTATGCTTTGGTACAGTGTCTTTGTATACACACACACACGTGTGGATTCTAGCGTGCACCCACGCATCAGCACAGCGTCTTCAGGAGTGTAAGTCTTTGTATACACACACACACACGTGTGGATTCTAGCGTGCACCCACGCATCAGCACAGCGTGTTCAGGAGTGTACATGTACACTGGTGTGTACATTTGTACGTGTATACACCCATGCCTGCATTCGTTCCCTGTGCATAGGAGCGCAGCCCGTAAACGTGCCTTACTGTGCATGTAAGGCTTGGCTCTCCTCACGTCCTCGTGGATATTTTCTATATTTCCATCTGAGGATGTCACTGCACAGCTTGCGCTAGCTAGCCCCTGCCATGTCAAGCTGAGGGAAGGCAGGGACAGGAGCAAGGCAGCCAGTTCCTCTGTCCAGTTCCTCTGTCCAGGTGTAAGGGTAAATCTCTGCTATGAGGACAGGCTGAGAGGGTTGGAGCTGTTCAGCCTGGAGAAGAGAAGGCTCCGGGGAGACCTTATTGCAGCCTGCCAGTACCTGAAGGGAGCCTACAAGAAATCTGGAGAGAGACTTTTTAGCATGGAGCGGAGCAGTAGGACAAGGGGTCATGGCTTTAAAGTGAAAGAGCGTAGATTTAGATTAGCTATAAGGAAGAAATCCTTCAGTATGTGGGTGGTGAGGCACTGGAACCGGTTGCCCAGAGAAGTGGATGCCCCATCCCTGGAATTGCTCAAGGCCAGATTGGATGGGGCTTTGAGCACCCTGGTTTAGTGGAAGGTGTCCATGCCTGTGGCAGGAGGGCTGGAACTAGGTGATCTTTAAGTTCCCTTCCAACCCAAACCATTCCATGATTCTATGAAGATTGCTCCATCTACTGCAGATGAGCTTGCTGTAGGGTCGATGGCGAAGATGTGTGCAGAAAGCCAGTGAAATAAGCCCAGACCAAGGAAGAAATGCTGAGGAAACACTTCAGAATACTTGTGGTAGAACAGCTGTTGTAAGGTTGACTGAAAAGAAGGTTAAGGAAAAGTTTTAAGAAGGCTAATCTTGTCATTTCATTGTCTTTTTTTAGCTTTTAAGTCTTTGAAGAAAACCACAGTATGTTTTTACAGCTCCTTCTGTTGTAAAGTAATTTTAAAAGGTGAAGAAAGAACACAGGTCTTGAGTATTTGCCTGAGTGGTTACCAAAGTTAGGTGAAAGGTCAGTGATGGTTGTGGTATAAATGGAGCTTAGCTAATCATTGTCCCTGGAACCTGACAACAAAACATTTCTGTGGAAGATCACCATTTTTGTCACAGGAGATTTATTTTGCTGCCCAGTGAAGAGACTCTTAAGTTGAATACCTAGTATTTGTTAGTGCTACCTACACAAACCTGTGTACATCAGTCTCTTGCATATGCCAGTGGGTGGGATGGGAACAGAAGTGGTCATAGTGTTTTTCCCAGTATGTTATTTTATTGGTGAAGAATCTGCATTGTTTTCTAGAAGTATTGAACCTAAACATAGCTCCAGGTACATCTAGGTAGAACAGTAAATATATACTCAAAAACCAGGATGAGCTTTCGCATTGTTACCAGTGAATGCTTTGGTGGATGGCTAGAACTCCAAAATCCATCAGAGACACTGCTATTAATACTTAAATTTGCCATTTCAGTGCAGAGATCAGGAAATCTCTTCCTCACAGCCACCAACTCTGCATTAGTCAGTTAGATTTTTGAGGGCTGATTTTGACAGTTCCAAGTTAATATGCATTTTCTAATGTTGAGACAAATCATAACAAAACTGTCCAGATTTAGATATGCCAGTACGCTGTCTTCTAGGAGCTTGTTCAATCCCAGTGGATTTTTGGAGTATGTGAAATTGTAATTTAAACAGCTGCTTTGACTGGCCACACCAGGAATTTAGGATTTTTTCCCAAAAAGATGGTTGTCACCACCACCCACCCGGAGCTGCATGCAATTTTGGTCCTCTTCTAGTTGTTCGTAATTACATTCTCTGAAAATTTGGCTATACAAGACAGCAGGTTAACTCAAAAGCAGAATTTCAGGTTTGTTTTACATATGTGGTGACTTGGCAACCAATAATGAGTTACAATGTGGTTTTTAAGATATGAAATCAAGAGCCTGTGTTGGTCATCTGTTGAGAAATGAAGGACTGGCTCCAAGAACAGCTCTTTGGTGCAAGGAAGTTTATAAATCACTTGTTATCATTACTGAGCTCCATGTTAGCTTTTTGCCCTGTTTTGACAACTTTCAATTTCTGTGGATGGAACTAAAATGTAAGACACTTCTGTATACTAGTAGGCGTGGGGAGAGACATACTTCCTTTTACAAGTTTGAAGTTTATGAATTAACTTTTTGTGCCAATTCACATGAAGTAATCTATCTGATCTGTGAAAGACTTGCTGTGTTTTCAGGTCATTTTCACAATAGTGAAGTCTCTAGTACAGGTCCTGCTAAAGGATTAGAGGTATCATTAGATTTTTTTTTTTTTCTTAAACTGCATGTGAATTATTATTGAAGAGAGCTGTGTGAGATGTTAAAAAGCTTGCACTGTTTCTTCAGCATGTTAAATTAAACAGTTTGGAGACTCGTGTAGTAGCAGTTGTGTTGTTTTCAATCTTACACACATTTCATGGTACCTTTCAAAAGAGGCAGTTTGCTTTCTAAAATCTCGTACCATGTTACCTCATTAGGTAATTAGACATTAAATGTCAGTTAGGAATTACTGTATTTGACGAGCAATGATTAATCTTCATAGTTACCATCTGTTAAAAATGTAGACAACTCTTAGGCTGTAATTATGTCTATGTTTTGGATGTTCTTTCCTGTGTATGCATAAGGAGAATGACTGAACCCCATAAGATCAGCACACAGTACACTTTTTCCCCTGTGGTAGGGAAACAAGCATTGCCTTAAGATACCTAAACAATTCAAGATGTTTTTGATTTAAAGAGCTGGTTGTGTGGGTTCTCTAATCTAAAGTGTTTGCAGAAACCCAGAAACACCTCTCCCTACTTTTCTTTGATGGCTGGTTACTAGAGAGTTTGCCGGCTGGCTGTGTGATGCCCTCCTGTCTCCCCACGGGTATGTTCCTACTCTGTCTTGCAGTTTCTGCTCGCTCTCTTGCTGTGCCTGCTGTGCTTGCCTCGACATTGCACTAAGTGTCAGATTTTTTTTTTTATCCTTGCTGACTAAGTGCAGTCAGATGACTCAAAGCTGTCATGAGGCCGGTAGGAGGAAGGATGCATCAGGAACTGTAGCACTGGTATTGTTTTTACTTTTTCTTCTTTGAAAAAACACTCCAAATTTTTTTTTTTTCAGAGCATTAAGTACGAAACATAGGAACAAAAAGCTAATAGTTGTCACAATGTCAAAATTCAGTCTTATGTGTTTTTTTTTTTACTTGAAATAAGCTGTGATTTTGCCTAATAGGAATTTGAGATACCACAGTCACTTTCTTTTGTTTCAGTTAGAGCCCTTCTGTAGCAATGAAACTACCTTGGTATGCCTTATTTGTGAGTAATAGAAAGCAGCTCTTCAAGTCCTAATACACAGTCTAGTTTTCTTTTGGATAAATTAAAGCTGTTCTCCCCTCTTCTGTCTGTTCTAATTTTTAAAAGCTGAGGTCCCATGTAATGTGTGTGTGAAATTTTTATGTAGTTAATCAATGTGGGAGGATCCCATTTCTTGATAGTACTGCCTAAAAGAATCGTTACATAAATAAACCAAATAACTAGTTTTCCCCTGTGAAGGAGGTTGACCTCAAAGATGCATTTAGCTGATTAAGATCTTGATGACGTGCTACATTTTGAACTTACAAGAGTTTTAAAATCACAAATATCTCTCTCACTTGCTATTAGTAAAATAGTTGGCATAATAAAAAGCTTAATACAATTTTTTCAACGCCAGCTGTGCCCAGGCACTTTAATGTCTTGTGTGGAGTGGTCATATCAAATATTCTGCTCAGGATGCCTCTGGCAAAAGCACATTGCTGTCGTAGAGCAGATATTTAAAAGGATCATTGAGACATACACCACCATCTGCATAATTATACATGTTTAGCCACACTGTTAACAAGTCAGAATTGTAAATTTGCACCGATTGGTCTCACGCTATAATTGGAATGTCATTATAGTCTAATCCCTGGAGAGACTCCTTGGAATGAGAAGTTAATAAGCTTTATTTTGTTGTTTCCAGAGAAATGCTGTGATAGTCAGTTCATGCTAAGGAGGCTTTCTTGGGTTTTTTATGAATTTGTGTATGCTGTTAGAATGATCTGTACCCATGCTTGGTTATGTAATTACCATCTTTAACCCTCTTATATGCAGAAGGGTTAAAATATTTCCATAGTGACAGCTCTGCGATATGCTTTGCACCAGAGCTGTTAGGGTTGACTGCTGGAGGTCTCTTACTGAGCTATGCAGCTACTATTGGGATTTGGAGCAAAAGTGCAGTAGGAATTTGGAGTAGCTACCAGGTGGAACTGCTGTGTCGTGGCTCCCTTTGTGGGAAGTGATGTGAAAAGTGTCTCTCTGACAAAGAAGTTAGGCACCTTTGGAAAAATGGTTAAGTCTGAGCTTCTTAAACATAACCATCAATCCAAGTATCATTCTGAAGGATTAATATTCTCTGCCCACTAAAAATAAACCTCTAGCCTTGCTGAACACAGCCCTGTCCCTTTTGCATTGCCCCCTTATCTGCTGCCATGGTACACTTATGTTTTGCTTTTTCCGTTCCAATTTAGTCCATGGCACTGTACATTACCAGAAATTACTGAATAGAGACTGTGACTTGAGTGGGTGTCCGAGGAAGCATCTCCAAATGATGAGAACATGTTACAGTGGCAGAGCTTCCTGCAACCTCGGAATATTTGTTGTGCTGCTTGTAGAAGGTGTTTCACCTCATTCTGGTTTTGGAGTCTTTGCAAACTTTAAGCTATTTATAAAACATACTGAGTGAAGAAACAATTCTGTCAGGAGCATAATAAAACTGAGGCTGTTCTTTTTTTTTGTCCAATACCTGAATAAAACTTAATGTTTTTTTGTTTGTTTTTCCCATCATATATTAAAGGTGGATAGCAGAGCTGAATCAATTGACAAGAAAATCACCAGGCTTGATGCAGAGCTAGTGAAGTATAAGGATCAAATGAAGAAGATGAGAGAGGGGCCTGCAAAGGTAAGAATCTTCTGTGGGATTTAAGTATGAGAGGATGTGACTCACACTTCTTGTCATGTAGTGGGGTGACATAGCCAGTTCATCAGGTTCTTAGAATTGCATCTTGCCCTGCTGATGGGATATAAGGTCCTGCAGGATTATTTTAATTCTGAAGTGTCTCTTAGACATGCATCTTTAAACAGTGCTTTTATTGATTTTTTTTTTTTTTTTTTTTATTTCTTCCAAAGTGTAATATAATTCCTCAATCAGAAGTAACTTGTTTGCGTCCCTTCTTCTTTTACCTGAATTAAAGTCTGGTAGACAGGCTGTTTTGTTCATCAGCCAAAATAAAAAGGTCTGGGAGTAGGAAAGCCCATTTTTGAAAGGGGATGAACATATAATATAAAAAGTATCTAATAATAAACGTATCTAACTTTTATTTAATAATAAACATATCTAGTATAAACAGTATTGTTAAAGTACCTTTTGCAGTATTACTTGATGCTCACCATTAAAATGTCTTGATGAAATACGGTTCTGATGGACTAAGTCTGACTTTGTATTCTGCTCAGAAAAAAAAAAATTCAAAAGCCAGAAACTTTGAAAGTAATTGCTTTTAGAAACTTTACATACAAGCCTATTTGGTTAACCATTAATGCAGGACGAATGCTGAATGTGACTACTTTTAAACTCTTTGCATTAGTAACTGAGAAATCTTTTGGAAAACTTAAATGTGATACATTACATTTAAGCAGTATAATCCAGAATAAAGTCAAATACTTTTCCTAATGTAGTAATATTGTATCTTTCAGAATACAGTAAAGCAGAAAGCATTGAGAGTATTGAAGCAGAAACGAATGTAAGTTTAAACCTTTATCATGTTGGGATTAATGAAATCCTGTGTTCTTTAAGAGGGGTGGCACACTTTCATTTCTCTTGCCAGTACTGTTGATTCTGAGCATTCTTAAAAGAAAAATGCTGAATAAGCTAGCCAGCCTTTCGGAAGCATCTCCTTACAAATTGTGCATCAGCATGTTTGTGCCTTACTTGTATGTGAGTATATAAATTTGGATTGGGACAAGCTGACCTAAATCTGCTCGTTACTAAAGCTATGCTTGGCTCCTGAACTTTCTGAGAGAGTGCCTCACTTTATAGCATTATTTGATTACTATAAATTGTGTACTTCATGATCTTGTTCTGGTTTACTGGAAATTTACCTGTTCTCTGTGGACACCCTTTAGGACTTGAACCCATATAGTGCAGGTAATTGTGTCTATGCAAAAAAACCCAGAATAGTATGATAGGTGATCCTGTGGTCCAGTCTAGCCTAGTGTACTGTCTTGAAAAGTGTCTAGCAACAAATTCTGTCCAAAGAAGGAATTATTGTTCATTTTTATGCTTTCATTTTTATGTTCAACCTGACATATTTTACATTCTTGATTTAATACAAGTTTAGCTTTGAGATGGACGATTTCTTGATTTTTAAAGTCTCCCTTTTCTTTTTGGCTAGCCATAAGTTTCCTTTTCTTACCCTATATCCTTTCCCTGCTCCTTGCCCTGCCGAGCTCCAGTGTGGAGTCATTGTGGTTTGGATAACCTGCATCTCTCCCATTCTGTTTACAGCATTAGTGAGAAGTGGCATGCAACTGTAGCTTATAGTGATAAAAACCTTTGCTATATCTTCACGTACTGTGTAAGCCTATACAGATACAGTATTGCATCAGTTAAATGGCAGCTTAGTTCAGGAGTAGCTTTGTCAACTTTAAATACATAGAAATGCATAATTGCCAGATGTTTATGAAGCTCTTTATTCTGATGTGATTGTTTATAATAAATTAAAAAAAAAAAAGAATCTGTTCCTATCTTCAGACTACTGCAGCTGGTGTTTTGTGGTTTCCCCCTCCCCCCAAAATAAGAATTATTATGGCAGTAAATAGTGGTGTTTTAAAGTCATTATTTGCACTGTTTTTAACAGGTATGAACAACAGCGGGATAATCTATCACAGCAGTCTTTTAACATGGAACAAGCTAATTACACTATTCAGGCACTGAAGGATACAAAGACAACGGTACCAGTATATTAATCTCACATTTGTTTAATTTGTGTATGCTGCATCAGATACAAGCATGTTGTTTGACTCTATTCTAGGTTGATGCAATGAAACTGGGGGTGAAAGAAATGAAGAAAGCTTACAAGCAAGTCAAAATTGATCAAATTGAGGTGAGCTTCTATAATTTAAATTACTAAAGAACAGAAACAACGTACTGAAATAGTGATGAGTGGACTATATAACTTAAAGGTAAGCTGACTGTTTTAGTTCACCCGAGTTTGCCTCCCTTTTTTTACGGGACCACCATCATAATTCCTTCCTGATTTTTCTGGTACTGCACAATCAGTTGTGGGCCTTCTTGCACTGATTGTTGTTTCCTTGCTGGGCTGATCTTTAATCTCTCCCTTCCTTTCCTCAGCAGTTCAGCATAAATGTTGGTGAATACTTCCTTCTGTGGCTTTTTTGTCCTCCTTTCCCCACTGCCATGTTCCTACTCTTACATGCAGATTAGTCCTTTGCTCCCCTAGTTCATGGTAGTGCCAGATTAAAAAAAAAAAAGGAACATCAAAAACCAAACAAAAAAACTAATTTCAAGAAGTCTGCAAGGCCTGGCCCTGTCTTCAGAAAATGCAGTTTAAAAATACAAGATGATTAAATATAATTTGAAGTATGCTGCACTTAAAGTCTTATCACATGCCAGTGCTGAATTCCTTTAAGTTCTCTTTCCTGTGCTGTTTTATATATGGCCTGCATTGTAAACCTCTAGGCAGGTATTGTCTTCTCACTTGTACCCAAGTACAGTGCCACTAGGTATGCTAAAGTAACTTCTATATTTTGCTGTGGCATGACTCAGGTTAGTGCTTATTCTCCAGATGGTAGATTTAATTCCTCTAGATTTCATACTCTCCTGCTTTCCAAGATAATGCTGGGCTGTGAGTAATTTATTGGAAGTTTTCAATTTACCTTGAAGAATATTTAAAAGATTTTTGCAGAGATGATGTTTCAAGGTTCCTCTGTTTCTATCTACCTCATACATTTATTATAATTTTAATAGTAGTTAAGACCACTCTATAGTACTGAATGCATATGCCTTGATTTGCATTAATGCTGCTTCAAAAAATGGTTTATGCATTAAGAAATTTGAGTGCCTTGTATGTTGGAATTATTAAACTGAATTTGATTAAGCTCTGATAAATTTAACTAAAACTATTAAATGTGGACCAGTTGAAATTATTTCTTGCTTCAGGACATACAAGATCAGTTAGAGGATATGATGGAAGAAGCCAACGAAGTCCAGGAAGCACTGAGTCGTAGCTATGGAACACCAGAGATTGATGAAGATGACTTGGAAGCAGGTTAGGAATGTGGAGGATGATTTTTACATACAGTGATGTAAAAATCATCATCATACAGTCATACAGTGATTTTTAATTTCATTATCCAAATACTTTAAATATGCTTAAAAAAATATAGTTTTAATCACTTTTTTAAACATAAAATCTGCATTTCATTTAAGAGCAGTAACAAGAGTATGAGACAAATGTGAGAGATACACTAATGGAATGCTACAATGAAGGAAAGAAGGTTCTTTCTACGGTGGGAGTGTGTGTTTATTCCTGGTTGATGACTAAGTAATGCTAAATGAGTATGAATGTAAGCATTCAGTATGAATCCTGTTTCTCCATAAAAGCAGCTTGTCTTTTGCAAAAGGAATTCCTTGCATAATTTTCCAACATAATTCAATTTCAGAACTGGATGCGTTAGGTGATGAGCTTCTAGCTGATGAAGACAATTCCTACTTAGATGAAGCTGCATCTGCTCCAGCAATCCCAGAGGTCACTCCTACTGACACGAAAAACAAAGTGAGTCCTTTCCTCTTTAAAAGCAAGATACATTCTTTTTGTTTTGTTTTGGATTAGTCACATTTGTGTTGGCTGCTTGATATTTGGACTCCAGAATATTTTGAACAAAAAAATGTGCTTAATGTTTTATGTATTCTGGATGCTATAAATGAGAGAATACAGTGTACTGAATGCTCTTTATTATATTTTAAAGAGCTAAAATGGCATTTTGTAACTCCTATCTAACATTATCAGACTGCAGGTAGAATTTAAGTGTACCGTTGCAGCTCCTAGTACAGTTATTAAAAATCTAAGAAAGTCCTCGGTATGTTTGTTTTTGGGGCTTCATAGTGAGGAAGAACACTGATGCTCCTATTTTGATCCCAGCTGTCACACAGTGACAATTACAGATATATTCCTTTATAGAAATTGTAAGGAAACTTTTGTGAAATCTTCTGGTTGGTGGAGAGTTGTTAACCTGTTGCTTCTTTTTCTTTCTTACAGGATGGTGTATTGGTGGATGAGTTTGGATTGCCAAAGATCCCTGCAACGTAAATGTTTCAAAAGCACAATGGATTAATGAACTATACTTTACAAATCAAATTAAGTTTTGTTTTGTTTTTTTTAAATCCTGGAGCACTTGTTCTTCCAGTGTAACCTTAATATCACTACATCCTAGAATGTAATATGAATGGCTGGTGGTGTTCTTTCTTTGAAGAAAGTTGTTCTACTACTGACTTTTCTATTAATGGAAAATTCGGCACAAATTCCCTTCAGTGGAAGCAGTCAGTCTAATAGGTTTTGATTTCCGTGTCTTATGGACGAAGTAACACGTGAGCAATAGTGGTGGCTGTTGATAGCTGAGGTTTATTTTGACTTTGTATTAGGTTTCTCTTGCTTGAAACTAAGACTGTACGTTGCTGCTTAACTCTCTGTAAAATAGCTCCCTTATTACTATGCGTATTTGATAAAAGAATTGGAAGCAATTTTTAAACTACTGCAGTCTTGAGACTTTTATGCTATTGTACTTGTAACATTCTTGAAAGCTGTAACAAATAGGGTTATCATTAACTTTGTGTATTCTATGGAGACATAAAATCATGTAGATTAGCCGATCCTTCTGTGTGGTGTTTCTGGTAATTAATTTGGCCTTAACCTGCCCCTCCTTTATCAGCGCCACGTGCTGCTCGAGCAGAGCATTTGCCAAAGGTGGAGCCTCGTTCTGATCCCAAAAGCCCCGTCTGGTGCTGCCGTGGGCAGCGTCACGCTTACGCCGTGCTTCTTTTGGCCGCGTCCCTGCTTCTTGCCGGGTCTCTGCTCCAGCCGAGAGCCGCTCGGAGCACCAAGGGGAGTCAACAAACACCAAAAGGGCCCGCACCCAGGCCAGCTCCGGGCAGACCCGCGGGCTTTCATTCCCCAGCCGCACGCAGGCCTGGGGCTGGCGTCGAGGCTGGGCTCCGGGACCGGAGCGCCGTTTTCAGGCCGGCAGGCAGAGGGTGCGCCGAGAGGCGAAGGGCTTTCATTCCCCAGCCGCACGCAGGCCTGGGGCTGGCGTCGAGGCTGGGCTCCGGGACCGGAGCGCCGTTTTCAGGCCGGCAGGCAGAGGGTGCGCCGAGAGGCGAAGCCGCGGGAAGGCCACGCTTCTCGCACCGGCCGTGCTTCCGGGGGGGCCCCG